CCATCTACAGGTTTTCCCTCCGCCCTCCCTTCACCCTGGCTCGAGGCGCCCTCCCCAACCTCGTCCTCCTCAGTCGCGAATTCCTCCACCTCCTCTGCGATGGGAGGCAGCGACTGGGGCAGGGCGGCGGGGGCGGCGGGCACGGATTGCCAGGTGAAGTTGCGAGTTGTGATCGCTCGGCGTTTTTCGTTGAGGATGCGCACGCAATCACGGTTGGTGTTGATTCCCGGGCCGAGGTAAAAACACTTTTGGGCTGTCGGTTCGGACTTGTGTGTGCGCTTGACCTTGTATACGGCAGGTTTGAGGAACGGGTACGTCGCCCCCGGCGGGGGAGGGTGCCCGTGCCACATCTCGTACGGCGACTTCTTCTCTGGGTTGGATGTGGTGGAGGTGCAGTTCAGGGCGTTGCATGACCAAGCTATGGCCTCGGCCCAAAGGGATCGGTAGTTCGGTGCTCCGGGGTAAAGAGTTGGCGCTTGGATGCGGGCAGCTATTGCTGCATCCTTGATCAGACCCAGTGCTCTCTCAGCTACACCGTTGTATTCTGGGCTGTGCGCGGGGGTGAACTCCTGTTTGATGCAGTACTTCCGGCACACCCTGCCGAACTCTCCCTCAAAGAACTCTCCTCCGTTGTCAGATCTCACGACCATGACATCGGACGGGGCACCGTCTGCCCGTTTTTCTTTAAGGTACCTCTCGAATGCCTCAGCGGCGTCTGATTTGTGCTTCAAGAAATAGACACGGTTCCACCTTGTGTAATCATCCTTGACAATGAGAGTGTACCACTTCCCCCCCAAGCTCTGCGCCCTAGCTTTTCCACTCAGCTCCACGAAAAATCGCTGCAGCTTCTTAAATGCTCGGGTCGATGTCTTGTTGGGGATGGGCTCGCTAAGCCCCTTCGCCGTCGAGCACCCCAGGCACTCCCGGAGCTCGCCCACCAGCGTCGTCCCTTGCTGCTTCGCCGTGGTCCTCAGCAGCACCTCGTGGGAGTGGCCGTGCGCGCAGTGGAAATCGTTGATGTCAACGGGGGTGCTAGACGCTTTCGCGTTGCCATGAGCAATTGCGGCACAGGCATGTTCGGTGTGTGTGCGGAAACAGTTTTTGGACGTACAGGTTACTGCATCGGGGGAAGTACACCGACTCCCCCCCCCCTCGCTCCAACTCCAACTCGTGTTTGTTGAGGGTTTTGGTTTCGAACCCGTCGTCGAAGAGGGAAGTGAGAGATACTAGGTTGTAGTCTAGTCGGGGAACGTGTGTAACCCGTTTCAACAACAGGTCGGTTGTACCGTCGCGCGAGCTAAGGGTTACCGTCACGTCGCCATACCCTACGATAGGGAAGGTTTCTCCGGCGGCGACGCGCACACGTCGATCACACTCTTCGTAACGAACGGACCCATCTGAGTTCGCGAACATGTGGGTGGTAGCGCCGGGATCGGCGACATACCTACCCCGCCTAGCCTGCTCGACACCCCCTCGACCAACGACTTTGTGGCACTCGCCTGAGATGTCACCGACCACCAGCGCTTCTTCTGCCACGTCCAGTGCTGTGGCGTCCGCAGACGCCCTCCCCGCCGGCACTTCCACCACGAGCACCGCCTCTTCGGTCGGGCACTTGCTCTTGTCGTGGCCGTAGCCCTTGCATGTCTCACATCGCAC